TACCAATTAGTTTCCGGGCCCAATTCAAAGTGTTGGTTTTGACTTATAAAGCCTTAAAAGGCTCAGGACCACAATATCTCAAGGACCACCTTTTCCATATGAACCTCCCTGGATCCTGTGATCAACTTCTGAGGCCCTTCTTCATGTGCCTCCTTGAGAGGTCCAGAGGGTGGCAACACGAAAACAGGCCTTCTCTGAAGTGGCTCCCAGCCTGTGGAATGCTCTCCCCAGGGATGTTCGCCTGGCCCCTTCATTATATACCTTTAGACACCAGGCAAAAACATTCCTTTTTAACCAGGGTTATTGGGTTCTTGTTTTTATTTTGATTATAAATTTTGTGGTTCTATATTTTGATTTTCTGTGAAATGCTCTGAAACATCTGGGCATAGGGCTGTATATAAATCCAATAAATAATAAATAATAATAATAATAAGGCTTTGCAGGACCAGTGCCATATGTGGCATTTGGTAGTTAGCCGTGACTCCCGCTAATTGATTTACGAACCTCGATTAGCGATATATGGCCGCCCGGCACACTTCCGCAGCGCCTCTCCGTCACGGCTCAGCAGAGTTTCACACAGCGGTGATAAACTGTCACGTCCTTTTCCCAGCTTCCAGACAAACACACACAGAGTCCAAGTTTGTCCTTTTCAGCTCTTTATTCCGACATTCCCCCAGGAATCTCCTGGGCTCCTTTCCGCCATTACCGGCTACGTTTTTCTCCCTCAACGACCAGAGGGGAACAGAACAGAAACTCCTCCCAGGCTCCTCCCAGCTTCCACAGCTGACGTCAGAATGTTGAGGCATCCTGGGAACTTCTTAACCAGTTAAGTTCCAAACTCAACACCCCCTCTTGCTGAAACCATTCTGACAAGACCCCTTTGAGTTCAACACCTTCCCCTTTGCCTTGTGCCCCTTCCCGGCATCTTTCCCAGGCACCTGTTGAACCCCTTCAGCACTCCCAGAATCACACTGTGCGACACTTTTCCACGCACCTGTGACCTGATACCCTACTGACCCATTAGGGCCAGCAGTTGTGTCTTCTCCGTCAGACTTTTCCCCCTCTGACTTGACACCCCTTCCGTGAGCTTTCTCCATTACCGGAGATGAAGCCTCACACCTGGACACTCCTTTCACAACCCTTGGAGATGCCCAAACCTGCCCTGAACCCTGACCCTGGACTTGGTCCCCATCACCGGGTTTTGAACCCTGATTCTGGACCTGATCCCCGTCACCGGGCTCAGCAACAACCTCCCTTCTCCCTTGAGAAGACTTTGCACCCCGTCACCTAGTGACGTATTCCCTTTTCCTTGAAAAATTCCTCCAGAGCAGACCCAGTAAACTGTGACCCTCGGTCGCTCTTGAACCCTTGCACCTTGGTGGAGAACTTTAGTTCCACCTCCGCAACCCAATCCTGGATCAGTTGCGCCGCCTCTCCCTGTGGTTTGAGAGAGAGACACCAGCCAACCTGGCTGTGGTCATCTGTCAGCGATGGCACATACCTGGCCCCACCCAGACTCTCACACCTCATGGGTCCTGACAGATCTGTGTGAACAAGCTCAAAAGCTTCCTTGGCTACCCTCCCAAACCCGGGAAAACCAAGTACCTTTGCACCTTTGCATGCCCTGCACCCTTGGGACCTCCCACATTTCCGGAGTTTGTACCCTTTTGTGCACCTGTGCAACTTTTGCATATCACTGGGAACCTTAGCACACTGCACCTGTGCTTTTTCCAGCATTCCCACCACCCTCCATAGGTGACTCCAGAACAAAGAAATTGTTCTTGCTCTTCGCCATGTTGACCCGTTGTCGCCCCCCTCTGAAAATGGAACAGGTGTCATTTTCAAAGCACATTTTTGAACCCCTGCTTCGTTAGAGCAGATACAGATAACCGACAACTATTCAGTCCCGGCACAACGCAGATCTCTAGCTCCTCCTGTGAAGGAGAGAAGAAAGCACGTTAGCCAATAAAACAATTGTTCCTGTTGAAAACAGCCCTGCAGTTCCGCAGCTTGCCTATCAGGTGCTGCCTGATAGCAGAAACCAAAACACCCAGCGTGTCATCGCGTCCTGGCTGGAGTTGTTTCTCACAGTTGCCATAGAAGCAACAAACGTCCCGCTGCCCCCTCTGTCCTTGGCAGCGTCCGAAAACCGCAACATCCTGCGTTGCTCTGAAGACTGGACTTATCTCAGAGTTCCCAGACAACTCTGCAGCACGTATCTTCCGCTGCAGCAGATGGCTGGCCTTGAAGCCTGGCAATGACGAACTCCAGTGGAAAAATACTGCTCCGGGGCTCCTCCCAGCTGGCCTGGCCTTCCTCCATCTGGAACGGCGCCTCCCACCAGCCTCGCCCCCCCTGAAGCTGCTCTTCATTCCAGCAGGTTCAGTGGAAAACTTTAAACGTGCCTTTGGAAACCTTCCGCCCCCCCGACCTGCTCAGCAGCACTCCTTGTGGCTAAAGCATCAGGGACAGGGGCTCCAGCCATCTTTAGGCTTTTGTAGTCCTTCTCCAGGGCTCTGGCCTTTTGCTGAAGCTTCACAGCAAACACAGCACATTTCCAAGCAGCCCTTAGTCCCTTTGCCCCCCTCTGGGGCCCACAGCCCTTCCCAGCTGTGCACCGGCTCTCACGAAGGTGGTCAGCGCCATCTTGCCTTTCTGTTCTGAAGCAGCCATCTCCCGGCCCTTGCCTCCGCCTCCAGCCTCACAAACACCCTGGAGCGCTGAACGGCCTCTGGCTTCCTGGCACCCAGAACAGTAGACTTCAGATCAGCAGCCAGGTTGCCCAACTTCTTAAAGTGAGCCTGGAATGTCCTCCAAGACCTGGCAACCTGCCATCCTCTTCCGTTCTCCCAAGGGGCCCCAAGCTGTACTCACAAGATCAGTTTCAGCTCCTCTGGCTCCCCCTTCTCCGTGGAGAAACGATTCCCTGCTGTTCTCAGCTCCTGGCTCCACAGCAGTCAGCAACACAGGCAACTCTCTGCGTTTTTTCAGCCAGCCGCTTTTTTAGCTCCGCAGCTCTCCTTGCCTCTTAACACCAGGCAAAAAGTCCTTCCGCCTCCTGCCGGCCCCCTGCTCGACACCGCAGATCAAAGCTCCCGGCAGTATCTTCCGTGACAGTTTTACAAGCGATGATTTATGGATCCATAACCTGTGGCATTTGGTAGTTAGCCGTGACTCCCGCTAATTGATTTACGAACCTCGATTAGCGATATATGGCCGCCCGGCACACTTCCGCAGCGCCTCTCCGTCACGGCTCAGCAGAGTTTCACACAGCGGTGATAAACTGTCACGTCCTTTTCCCAGCTTCCAGACAAACACACACAGAGTCCAAGTTTGTCCTTTTCAGCTCTTTATTCCGACATTCCCCCAGGAATCTCCTGGGCTCCTTTCCGCCATTACCGGCTACGTTTTTCTCCCTCAACGACCAGAGGGGAACAGAACAGAAACTCCTCCCAGGCTCCTCCCAGCTTCCACAGCTGACGTCAGAATGTTGAGGCATCCTGGGAACTTCTTAACCAGTTAAGTTCCAAACTCAACACCATATACACACCATACATTTAAAACACTATGATACCACTTTAAACAGTCATGACTTCCCCCCAATAATTATGGGAGCTGTGGTTGGTTAAGAGCGAAAGCATCCCTTGCAATCTGATTGGCCTGTTTGATCAGGCCTTCCCTGTCAGGTCAGCATGGCTGGAAGCAGAGGTGCCAGGCCAGAAGCCAAATGGGTGAAGCCCCCTCCCTTAAGTGGCTGGTAGTTAGAAGGACAAAAGACAAAGGTGAGAGTTAGAAGCTAGAAGCAGGTTGCAAGCAGAAGCCTGTAAGGGAGAACCTGTGAGGAGAATCAGAACTTACAGGGTTAAACAGTTCTGTGTGACGTCTCACATTCTGAGGCGTGGTTATGTTCACATACGGGAATCTATCTCTGTGTGTGAGTTCTCTTTCGTTTTTGGCTGAAAGACGAAAGGATGGCTGCTCTCTCGCCGGGCTAGTTTACGATGTTTTTCTGCTCATTAAAAGACTGTTGGAGATAAGCAAGAAGCCTGCTGTCAGTCTGAATTTATTACCCCCACACGGCAACAGTTTCTCCCGCTGCTGAACTCTGCTGGGACTATGATAAGAGAGCTAAAGGGAGCTAGGCACAGAAGCGCAGTGGCGCAGCAGAAACGTGCCGGACGCCATCTTATCCACACAGAACCATGCTTGATTTCTGCTTGAATCCAAGACACTGGCTATGGAAGAAGCAATAACTTATTGAGGTGTTAATGCTGTGAGCCCCCACCCCCCAACATAGGCTCAGGTTGTATATATGTGTAAATAAACCATATATCATAAAGACACCACAGTCTCTGCTGTCTCTTATTCCGAGGAAACCAAACCCAGGGTAAGTGCCTGGAATCTCTGAACCTTGCACTGCTTGGATATTGGGGTGGTGTGCAACAGTAGGTAGTCCTTTGGTTATTAGTGAGGGTAGCAGTGAAGGCCGAATTTTCTTTAAGTTAAGGCTGTGCCTCCAACTGGGAAACTAGGTTCAAGCCAAATTGGTTGTCCTAACAATAAGTTACTCCACCAACATACTCTGGACTGGAAACAGAACATTTCTTAAGTGCTTTAAATATGTGTATAAAGAACAGTAGGTCTTTGATCGTTATTCAATTTGACAGTAAATGTAAAAGGCAGAACAAAATGGAACAGGCTAGAAAAGTAATTTTCACATCAAGATGGTTGCAGAACAGACTGGGATGTGCTAGACACCTTTGTGAAAGCATTTTAGTGCCGAGAACCACACATTAAAACACTTTTGTGAACCCATTGTCAGCCAGAAAATACTTTCAACAATAAAAACAGCTCAGTTGGTCCATTTCTGAGACATCTGAAATGATAAAACAAAGCGGCATTTCATATAGGACTAGAGAGGTGCTGCATCAAACACAGGCCAATTTAGTTATGTGATCTGATTGCAGGTGGCAAGTTTATTTCCCCACAGTGCCCTGGAGCAATGTGACATCAGGGTCATTCTGGGAAATTAAAATGGCTGCCTGCCACTGCTGCCAGCCACCAGGTAAGCCCAAGGCTGGGAAGCCAGCGCTAGTGGGCCCTGTTGGGGCTTGGGGGCCCTGCCAGCTGCCTAAACAAGCTCTCCCAAACGTGAACATGTGAATGGAAAGTACAAAGTTAGCCTTGAAAAGGAGGGAGGGAGAAAGCAGAAAGAGCATCAAAAATATCGAGTGCGTCAAGCATCAGTGCCTTTCCTCTCAACATTCAGCAACTCTAGATCTATTTCCTCCTGTGGCTTCTATATTTTCTAAGGTTAAAGTGACACTGCGAAATGGGAGCTGGGAAGAGTGCAGATAATAAGGGCACTGGAGAACTAGATGGTTAGTGCTTTCATGTCAGCTCATAGGAAACCTGCTAAAAAGCAGAGGACATTCAGTACTTTGTGTGGCAGGAGCAGCTTGAAAGTTCCATTTTCTTGATGGAAAATGACCAAAGCATAAAAGTGCTACAAAAGACGTCCTTGTTCTCGTTCGGGTTGGACCTGAAGTTTAGAAATATATGTTTGTAACCTCCACAGCTGCTGCAGCAGCATTTCCTGCTTTTTGACTGGCCAAAGCGAACAACATCTGGAAACAGAGGTGCCAGCTTGAATAAACTATTGTGGGGGCCCAGGTAAGACCCGCCCTGCAAAACTGATCAGATGATGCAATGCGCACACACCATTTGAATGGGAATGCCCATCAACGGGGGGGGGGGCAGCACCCTCAAAAATTTAATTGTGGGGGCCAAAGCTCCCACAGCTCCTGGTAGCTGGTTCCTATGTTTGGAAATACAGTGGTACCTCAGGTTACATACGCTTCAGCTTACATACGCTTCAGGTTACAGACTCCGCTAACCCAGAAATAGTGCTTCAGGTTAAGAACTTTGCTTCAGGATGAGAACAGAAATCGCACGGCGGCAGCAGGAGGCCCCATTAGCTAAAGTGGTGCTTCAGGTTAAGAACAGTTTCAGGTTAAGTACGGACCTCCGGAACGAATTAAGTACTTAACCCGAGGTACCACTATATGTAAGTAGCCTAGAAAGCTTTATGTTATGAGGCGGCATACAAAGTTTGTTAATAAATAAACACACAGACTGATGAAATCCACTTGTACCACAACTCATATTTGGCCTCCCAACAAAATGGTAGGGTTGTTACTGCTCCCATTTTAAAGGGATCAAAATTGAAGATAATTGTAACCTTTGATGGTCTCTCAGTAAACTAACTTGGGCCAACCTTGACCCCAGATTCTGCAGTGTTTGAGGCCTGCATGATAGCCAATTCTCATTTGCTGATATTTATGCCATGGACATATCACTTCATTGGGAAACAGAGAGCAATGACAAGGGGCTTTTATGGGAGGAATTGCCAGAAATTAAGACCCAGAGAAGGTGACAGATGAAAGCACTGTGTGGGGACATCACCAATAAACAACAAGGCACAAGGATCCCTTTTAAAATTGTAGTTGATCTTACGATCTGCAGAGGGGAAAGTCGATGCGCAGAAAATATAAACTACCAGGCTCCTACGCCTGTCATCGTTGGGCAAGCCTACCCTGCAAAGAAGAAAGGGGGCATTAATTCCACCCCTTTCCCAGGCCACACCTCTTCAAGAGAGGAGGCAGGCCTTCCTCATTCACGTCCCATTGTAGCCCCATATCTCTTAGTTAGTGCCACAGGTTAGCCTCAAAAGTAACCCATTTCTTGTCTCGCAAGTGCCACAGCCCTATGTGCAAGTCTTAGGAATTGCTATTCACCTGAACAGGGTACTCACTGTTTCTTCCAACCTCTTCCCTTTCCCTGCACAATTTTGCCATTGCAGGAGGATAAGTCACACCTTAGCATTTCTTCTCTGACCCCCCCCCCAGTATCGCTAACTTCACATCCCTATGCAGATCCACCAGGGAAGTTTAATTTCCCATATCCGATAAATGCATTCTACCTTATCTATAAAGTTCAGCCCTGTTATACTTTATCTCACCACCTGCTGCAAAGCTTTCCTCAATACCCTGTTCACTTTCCTTTCTAGTCTATCGAATGCCCTTCCATCCTTAGCCTAAGATCCTTCCTCATTTCTGACATACCCCTAACCCTGTGATATGCAGCTCTCTCAGCTTTTATGGCACCACACAGCCATCTCATGAATGCTGTGCCAGGAGTGAGCACATGGCATGCAAAACTGAGGTGACCAGAGAGTTCCTGTAATTTCTTCAGTGTTACTTTCTTTAATGCTAACACCTCCTCTCCCTTCTGCTGCAGTACAGTCAGTTTTTCTCAAGGAAGGCGAGAAAACTGAGCTGCTGCATCTAATTCAATTCTCTCTACCCAACGAGACCTGAAGCTTGCCTGTTAAATCCTTGCATAGCTGCACCAACCCCTGTTGTCCATAGCTGACAAGCGTCCCTTATTTGGCGGGACAGTCCCTTATCCCAGCGCCATGTCCCGCTGCTGTCCCTTATTGATGATGTCCCTTAAATTTTCCGGGTTTCAAAGGAAGCAGCTCCTCTCCCTCCCTCCTTGCCGGCCAGGGAGGAGGGAGGCTCCAACTGTGTTGCTTGGCTGTGTTGCTCACCCAATAAGAAGTCTAAGAACGACTGGGGGGTAGAGCTTGCATGCCTTGTGCTGATCAAATCGGCTGCGTTGCCTGGGGACTCACCTTTGCTCAGCGCTTCCAGCGGAGAGGTGACAGTGGTTTTCCTTGAGGCTTGAGGCTTTGTTTGGCTGCTGGCAGGGCTTTCTGCCTTTGGCTCAGAGGGGCTCAGAAGTTGAACATACCTGTGCTTGGAAAATCCATTATTTTGGCTTCTGATCCCTTATTTTTGAGACTGCTGGTCCCTTATTTTCAAATCTGTAAGTTGATAGCTATGCTGTTGTTCCACTAAAAAAACAACATGCAAGCAATGAACTCTCTGTCCAACCAGTCTGGCTCCTCAAAGTCCACTCCGGCAAAGAGCCAAAAGACTCAAATGCTGCACATAAGATAGAGCAACCCATAAGAGCCCTAGCCATGTACAATTGGCTTTTGTAATAGAACTCCAATGAATCAAAATTCCCTTGAGCAGACTGGGAGGAGTCAGAAGGAAGACTGGAGGTCCCTTATGCCATATCTGTGCACCACTCTCTCAGCACCATCAAATTAAGATTAATGCACTGAGCAGAAATGCTCAGGAACAAAGTAATTCACTGAGTCTCCTTCAGAATATGAGAGATGGTGTGCCTTTCTGAACTGCCCCACTTCTTTTTCTGGGACGACAAACAATGGCTGGATGTGCAGTTAAAGGCGCATGGGAAAGACGGCCTAGAATCCTGTCTTCCTCCATGACCTTCCCATTCTTTTCTACCCAATCACCACTTCAATCTCTTCTACTGACTACACATTATTACAAAAACACAGTTCTCCCCCCACTTGACATGGGATCCTAAACCCCACTGTGAATACCTGGCACCATCTGCTCTTGGGTATTCAACTAATAATTTCCTCAATGGCACCAGATTAATGGGGCTGGGTCACTTTCCCTTGACCAGTAGGCTGCCTCCCCTGTCCATCTCTTTCAGATCAAAATGACTTTATTCTGGGGTATCCTGAGTCCCTACCACAAATGAAACGAAATGTGTATCTGAAGAAGTGTGCATGCACACGAAAGCTCATACCAAGAACTAACTTAGTTGGTCTTTAAGGTGCTACTGGAAGGAATTTTGTTTTGTTTTGACAAATGAAACACTCATACCTGAAATTGCATGGGCTTTTCTCTTACAATGCCCTCTAAAGCTATATTCTCAATGTAACAGGTGGGGTTGAACAGCCTGCCATGCAGCCCCATAGGCTGCACTTGTGGAAGTTTGCTGGCTTCCAGGTGTCCACTATCTGACTTACCTCCCGGCACTTAGTCCCTTATATAAACTGCAGCTTAAGCTCGGTTTTTTGCTTATTCCTTCTAACCTGGGTGTCTAAGCCTGCCTGCCTTCTAACTGCCACATTGGAGACCAATTGTGCCCCATCCAAAACTCTATGTATGTTCTAAAAATGACATGGATGTACTTAATAAAAAATGAACCCCTGGTAAGCTATTTTTTCTTTCTTTTCTATTTTAGGCATTTGTTATGACATGTATCATTTAGTAGAACAACCTGAACCTTCCCATTCTTCAACAACAAAAAATGTGCAGCCTAGTGCAGAATAAGAAAGCATTAAAAATAAGACTTTGGTATATCAGGATCTGTGCAGTTATAAAAGGAAAAGCATGCTGCCCAGATGTCAAACCAACTAAAAAATGTTGTACGTTGCCAGAAGACCCATGTTTCTCAGGTTGTTCATATATGCAATAAAACAGAACCAATCTGCTGCAAAAGTGTCTTTCTTGTAATAGGGGAATATAAATGCACATTTTATTTTTGCAAATATGTGCACCTGTTATCACATCTAGGATCTAAGTTTGCATCAGGAACTTACTAGGGATAGAATACCGCCTTCCACTTACCCAGGAGGTTAATCAGTTTTGAAGAAGTAGTTTTATTCCAAGACTGAAGAAGTCACATTCAAACTCTTTGTGCAAATAAACTGACACATATTCGATGCATATTATAAAAAAGATTCCCCAGTGGTGACTTGGGCTATTGGGTAGGCTCTGAGAAGGAAATGATGTTTTGTTTTGTTTTTGCATAAAAACTATTTGCTAGTCTCCTGCTTTTCCAGAATGTTCAAGTGCATTTTGACACACCACTGATCTTCAAAGCGGGAGGCTTCCTTCTCTGCCTACTTGTATTGCTTCAAAATGTAGAATCATTATTTTGGCGCTTCTGCGTAATGCTTGCTGGGTGCAAAGGAAACAAGCATGACAGGAAGATGAGCTTTCTGTGACAGCAAAGCACCTCCCCTGCTATAAAAAGATAAACTTGTGTGCCTTATTGAGGATACTCCTTGACAGAAGATTTATTTCATGTAATCTTAACATCGCTGAAGTTGGCTGGAAAGTGTAGGTGGCAGAGGAGGTGCAATTTATGTCAGAAAGGAATTTTACTTGTCTGAAACCCTGGAGAATGGCTCCCATTCACTGTAGACAATACTGAACTAGATCAGGGTGTTGACAATGTGGCGCTTTTTAGAGGTTTTGGACTCCATCTTCCCCAGCCGACATGACCAATAGTCAGGAATGACGGGAGTTGTTTTCTACAACACCTGGAGGGCATTCCATTGGCTACCCCTGAGCCAGATGGACCAATGGCACGACTCAATATAAGGCAGTTTGATATACTTTGGACTTATTTTTAAGGGCTTTGTTGTCTCCATTGTGTCTTTACGCCTGCTTCTTAGAAGTCTGTAAAGCCAAGAAGTGGGCAGGGGAGTGCCAGCTCACAATGGCACCCACCTTAGAGGTGCCAGAACTGTGCTCCAGCTGAAAAAAAAGCACTGGTTATATGTATATAGTATTATCATTGCCCCTGCTTTGAGCACTGCATAGTTGGGTTGCCTGTGGGTTTTGTAATGTTTGGCTTTCTGTTATTATAACCAGCACTGTACAGGTGACTGAGAATTCCAAAAGCTGTCCCACCAGCAAGCCGAAAACACAGAGGGGATCACAAGTACCGTATTTTTTGCTCTGTAAGGCTCACTTTTCCCTCCTAAAAAGTAAGGGGAAATGTGTGTGCGTCTTATGGAGCGAATGCAGGCTGCACAGCTATCCCAGAAGCCAGAACAGCAAGAGGGATTGCTGCTTTCACTGCGCAGCGATCCCTCTTGCTGTTCTGGCTTCTGAGATTCAGAATATTTTTTTTCTTGTTTTCCTCCTCCAAAATCTAGGTGTGTCTTGTGGTCTGGTGTGTCTTATAGAGGAAAAAATACGGTATGTAAAGTATAAGGAGTGGCTGGCTGACTTCTCTGCCTATTGTTGATCTTCTCTTAGCTCTTTAATTCATTAGCAAATTTCCCCTATTCACCCTCTTCCCAAACCCTGGGGTGAAAATAGCCTCAGAAATAGGTGATTAGACCATGGTTCTAATAACGCCAAAGTTGTGGGTTTGATTCCCATAAGGGCCACCTGCGTATTCCTACATTGTTGAGGGGTTGGGTTAGATGATCCTGTGTGTCCCTTCGAACTCTACAATTCTATGATTCTATGAATCTGTGAAAGCAGAATTTCCAAGAGGCAGAAGCTGGGCCACTCTTGTGTGATGAACGTAATGTGTAGCCCAGCTCTTAGAAAGGAGGTTGAAGTCGATTAAACATAAAAAGAAAGCAGTGTTCTTATCTTGGGTTCCAAAAGAGAAGGAAAGCTTTAAAAAAAAAAGATGATAACATTTGGTGGTGGAAAAATAAAGTGGATGGATCTCTCAGACCTTCAGAATGGCAGCCTCTTCAGGAATTCAAAGCCCCAGAGTTATTCTTTGTTCTCAGCCCCACTGAGTACTTGTGTGCTAAACTTTAGTTTGTAATTGATGTTTTCATTAATCACACCGATCGATCAGTGGAAGCTTTCAGCTCTCATAAAATATCTTTGCACTTGCAGATTTGTTGTTTGAACTGGATTTATCTAATCCCCACTAACAGAGAATAGGACTTTTCCCTCATACAATGATTTGATAAATTACATAAATGTGTTCTTTGTTAGCACTGTCATTCTTGCGAAAAATTGCCTCTTCCTGAGGTTATTTTTGCTGCAGCTGTTTCCTAGGACAGCAGCTAGAAGTGCAGGCCTGGCACCCTAAGTTTTTGATCTAGGTTTGTTTTCTACTGTTGTCACCCCACCACCACTCTTACTTTGTGCAAAGTTTTGCCTGTTTTTAGAACAGGGGCAGCACATCCAGGTTTGTGACCTGGGATCAACAGAGAAAACTTCCAATCTGATTTCTGCATCCCAATGAGGAATTAATGGCAATTTCACCAACACCAGTGCTACCAAGTGCACTCATACTCAAGTTGGATATGAATTAAGCTAGGGGTGTGCAAGAAAACAAACCATTTCAATTTTTCCATTATATACATGCATTCATTCATCTTCCAATTATTGTCAATGGAAGTTCAAGCATGTCATCTGTTGCCTGTAGCTTTTCTACCCAAATTGCACAAAATTATTGACATTCTTCTATGCTCACAGGGAATGCTCCATTCATTGACTTCTCCTCAGCCTTTGATTTAATAGATAGGGAACAAATTGGCCCATTCAAATATCGATAAAAGACTTTTCTGGCTCATCCATTGAGGGAACCCCATGCAAGTGAGACTAGGCCTTCGAGTTGCCCTCTCACAGGCAATTCCAATTAACAGAGGTGTCAAGCAAGGATGTATACTGGCACTCTTCCTATTTAATTACTATATAAATAATCTCATTCCTGATATGGCATCCCCATCCTTCTTTGCCCTCACCCTAGGGAATTGTAAAGTGCCAATTCTGCTCTGCACCGATGACTTAGTTTTGTTATCCCAGAATAAAATCAGACTTAGAAGGATGCTGGTTAAATTTGGACAGCTGCGTAAAAAAGATCATCTAAAAATTAACTATGATAAAACCAAGGTCACTCTATTTGGCAAGAGGACTACCAAGTCCAGGTGGACTCTAGACGGTCACACCCTTGAGTAAGTACCCAGATTTAAATATCTAGGATTACTTATCAACGGGAAGTCATCATGGAAACCCCATCTGGAAGCAATCAAACTAATATCTGGCCATTCTACTGGGCAGCTATATAGGTTCTTCCATTCATAGGGTAGACAGTTAATATCCAGCTATTAAGATATTTGTCTCTAAAATCATCGCCCAAATATTTGCTCTACGGAGCTAAGATATGGGGAATTGGGGGACTTCCGGTCGGCGCCAGCGTTTAATGGCGGTCCTCGCTTCGAGCTCCGAAGGAGGACTGCTCCGCGAGTTCGGGTCTGACCCGCTACGGCGAGCGGGGGACCCCTAAAATCACAGGCGCTGAAGCCTGTGAACAAGGAGACTCGGTGGGCACCTTTTTCGCCCCTCGGTACTGCGAAAGAGCCTTTTTAAAGGCTCCGGAGCGGCATCGGGTGTGAGCGCGGTGCTGAGAGTCGCAACCCAGCCCGTGGAGTGAAGCCGCGTCGCCATAAACGGAGAGCGCCGATTCCTTCCTGAAACTGAAATTCGACCATAACACTCGTGAGTAAGACTGAGAGATTTGAATGGGACATTTAAATTAAATTCCAAAATTTGGCTGAAAACGGGAAAGGCATAAATTAAGGAAGTCTGCCTCCCCGGACTGCATGGCAATCAAAGCAATGAAAGAGCAAAGCTGCATTTTAAAGAAAGTTAACTTTTAAGCTGTCAAAACCTGACATCTGACCTATACTTCCCCCCAGCAAGCAGGAGAAGGGGGGAAGAAAATTGGACATTGCAAACCTGCCTGAAACAAATTGAGGAAAAAAAGATTTTCCACTGTCAAAACCCCGGGACGGGCTGCCTGAGTAAGGCACTGGGAAAGTGAACTGTCAGCTAAGATTGGATACAAAGTTGGGGTTTTGTCTGAGACAAAGTTACGGGACTTTAATGGAATTACTTTGTTGAACTTTTGGCTATATTGAAAGTGTTATAGAAACTTTTACTGTGGACTTTTGGACTCTTTGTTTATTGCTCTATGTTCCCTTGTTGTTGTTTTTTTTTCACTTGGATACAATTGAATGCTCCCTCTAGAGGGTTTAAAGAGAAACTGTTACAGTGAAAGAGAAATAGTGGAACTTTCCACTTGCAAGTCTTTCCTGTGAGAACGACCTTGAGGATATGAGTGGTCCAGCAGAAGAGATAACAACTAGATCTAAAGCAAAACAAACACAAAAGAAAAGGGGCTCAATACCAGGCATAACACCAGCTGTACAGGAAAAAGTCACAACAGCATCTATGGAATCAATGACACAGGCACTGCTCAAAATAAACCAATCTTTGGAAGCATTGACAAAGCTGTCAACAGACAATTCCAAAAAACTGACTGACTTGACAACAAGATTGGACCTGAATACTGCAAGTGTAGCGTCTAATACAGAATCTATAAATAAATTGATCCAAGAAAGTTCTGAAACACGAAAGATTGCTGAAAGTGCAAAAAATACTGCAGAGGAGGCAAAGAAGGAGCTTGTACCAATCACAAAAAAAGTGAATGAACATGATGCAGCCCTATCTTTATTGGAATTACAGAGAAAGGAGAAAAATTTGAAATTAAGATTGGTTCCAGAGAGCGAGGGAGATAATCTTGTGGAATTTCTTACACAGAATATCTTGGAATTTTGGCAAGAAGACTTACAGGAAGAAGAACTGGAAATAACAACAGCTTTTTGGCTGGGCAGGAAGCAAGGCAACAAGC